TACGTTTGCCGCGTTTGGCACACCCTGACAACGCTGCCTTTCGTGACGACAAGTTCATTGCACGCCCAGCTTATCTGTCAGACATATTTAGAGACACGAATGTGCTGAATTGCTCTCTACAAGGAAAAAATGCTTTCATCATTGATGTCCAGGATAAGATGAATGCCTTCTGTCAACAAATGGAACTACAGCATAGTCTGGATTTACGCGGTCAATTGAACCCGTGGAGGCCCGCGTAAAATGAGAAACACGTAAATGAAATAACAGAACTTATGGGATTTATTGAAATAGAGACTGGGCCGACCCCCAAACTCCACTTTTTGCCAACACAATACGTACGTTGTAGTAAAAATAGTATCTTAACTTTATGATGGTATGCACACACACATAATATAGAAGATAAATATCAATAGGAGAATAATACACTGTACCAGGTAAAAGAAAAATCAAGGTTTAACACTTACGTTAGTAGAAGAGATGGGTCGGCATACGTGGATGGGGGCTGGTTCCGAGGCAGAGGGCAGATTACTGGCCCTCAAGTGAATCACCATCACTATCCACCATAGTTGTCAGGGCCTCCCTGACAAATCCCTCAAAGTCAACATCAATGTCACTATCACTGACTTGGGCTGGCTGTGGTGGGTTGCAGGCGAAGAAGTCCGTGATGTTACGCTGACGGCTAGTGTTGATGTGTTCGTGATACATCGTGATGTACGGCTCCATAGTTTGCAACAGATGGTTACTGAAGACTTCTTGGCGATGATCGTCAGGGTCGTTGGAAAGGACGAGCTCGAGTTTCTCGGCAAACTCGAGCTCGTCCTTTACATTACCGTGTGTTAACTTATGTTCTTATCGGGCTGCGGCACCACCTGTATCTTCACTGACGTCATCGTCTTCCAATATCTCGTCGGCAGTCACCTCAGGATCCCTGATTACCTCCATAATGTCTTCGTTGGTGGTCTCGGAGAAGCCTGCAGCTGTAACACTCTGTGCAAGGTCCACTGCCACTGCAACAGACTGAACCTCACCAGTCACAGGTTGCCTCTGCCTCCCACCTGGGATACCTTGCAACACATGCCGCCACGTGTGACGAATCGTTGCCACAGACAGCTGCCCCCATGCCTCCACCAAGAAATCAACAGCTTTCTTGACGTTGAATTTCTTCCAAAACTGTTTGACGCGAACTTCTTACTCCGCCAACTCCTCTTCCTCGTCGTCGTCGCTCTCGCTATCGGTGTCACCCAGGTTCCGCAACTCATCTTTGGTGTTGGTCAAGTCATTAAGGAGCCGAAACTTCTTTGCAGAGAAAGCAGCCTTCACATTACAAATTAATTCTTGATCCATGGGCTGGATTAATGACGTAGTGTTGTGAGGAAGGAAGACCACTTTTACGTTGGGGTGACGATCCAACAGTAGGGACGAGTGTCCTGGTGCGTTGTCAAGGAGCAACAAAATGTTGAATGGAACATTCTGTTGCTTGCAGAATTTCTTGACGTCGGAAATGAAAACAGTCGTCAAACCAGGAGAGGTACAGACCAGTGAACATCCATGCCTTAAGTGCGGTTAGCCAGTGGACATTTAGCTTGGTCATGTCCATGTTCTTGTAGGCGTGCGGCTTGTGGGCTGTGTGGATCACCGATGACTTGAGCTTACAGGAACTGGAAGCATTGGTGGTAAACAGGACGGTGATGCGCTCCTTCTGCAACTTCCGGCCCCGACACTTGCTGGCAGACTTGACAACGAAGGTCTTGGTAGATAGCTTTTTCCAAAACAGACCGGATTCATCCATGTTGAACACCTGGTCGTCGGTGTACTGTCCTTCCTCCATAACTTCTCGTAAGAATGGAGGAAAATCACTCGCCGCAACACGGTCAGCACTACCCCCTTCACCAACAATGCTAATGTTGGTAATCTTGTTCCTCTTCTTAAACCCAGAGGAAGCAGTGAAGGGTTTGGGCTCTGCAATTTCCATCTTACGTGCCACTGCTACGTACAGTTCACGTGCATACTCCTGAACTGACAGAGTGTCCACTGCCATGTTCCGTCTTGCCTGACTAATCAAGTAGCTCACCAGCAAATTCTCAGTCTTGAGCAGCACCTTCTTCTGACAGTACTTCACCATTGAAGCACTTGCAGACTTTGTGATGCTCATGTGTTCTTTTATCTTGGCGGCATCCTTCTTGATCATCCGGATCGTAGATTCGTTCACGCTATGCTGGCGCGCCAAATCAACTTGTCTCATTCCTTTTTCTAAATCTTGTACGATCATGTACTTAACTTCCTAACTTCAAGCACGTCGTATCTTCTTTGGCTTGGGGCGGCTGGGTCCAGGTAATGCAAGGTTTTTCTGTGGTGGTGGGGGTCCAGCGGATGCCATTGTTGCGAGATTAGCAGGCACAATAGAGCACAGTATACACGCGGTGACTGGGAACAATGCGACTGACGCGGGTAGGTCAGCGGCTTCTTCTCTCTGGTGGCAGAGCACGTCATATTACATTGAACCAATCACAGCTAGCAGGAGAGGGAGGTAAGGATGCGTGGACCAATCACAGTCTGATACGTCGTATGATGTCACCGATAACGCAACAGCGACATACTGCGCAACCTTACTCGCGCCGCTTCCCCCCGCTTATGGTCAAGCATGGGCCGCTTGAATACAAAATGGCACGGCGAGTCTGGACCTCCAGCCGCTCTCCGCGTAAATGACCAAATTTACCGCGTAATTAAAGCATTTCAATTCTGGCAAGGCACTGCGTAAATAACCAAACGCGTTAACCAAAACCGCGTAAATCCAGATTATACTGTATGGCACAGGCGAGTCAACGTCAACAACATAGCTATGTTTACCAGGCTAGACCAATTTTTTCAAAGTAGCGAGGTTCAGTGACCGGTGACCGAAATTGGTGAGCATGTGCTCACACTCAAGATGTCAATGACAAATATTTTCCTGAAAGCAAGGCTCTGAAGCAACCATTTCTTGTCGCCGAGGATGTAATTTCTGACAACGACCTTGCAAAAGACGAATTCCTGAAGTTGAGAAATGATTCCGTGACCCGTAGCACATTTGACACTGTTGAGGATATTGCAGTGGGATACCCAACTCTAATGACTCGGGCAATCGACGTACTTCTTCCATTTCCCACGACCTATATGTGTGAACTTAGGTTCCCAGCAATGTACTACATCAAGTCCAAGACAAGAAACCGGCTCGTTCCAAGCTCAGATTTGAGGCTGGCTCTGTCAAAGACTAAACCACGCATCCAAAATCTGGTGTCGGCAACACAAGTTCATCATCTCAGTAAGACTAAGTCTATAACAGCACTGTAACTGTAGCACTATTATTGATTTTTGTATAAGACGGACTAGAATTGTACACTTGTGTTTTGTATAATAAACTTTATTGAATAAGAAGTAGGGAGTAAAATTTTACGTTGGGGTAATTTGAACCTGTCAAACTTAAAATAGGGGTAAAACTGGAAAAAAGTTTGAGAACCACTGCACTAGATTAACACAGGTAAACGAACCCACCACCACCTGAGGGAGGAGTGGATTAACCATAAACCAGGGTAGTATCCGTAGTTTAAGGCCTCGGCGGCAAACCTATCGCACCTGCTCTGAGTGACCCAACAATTAGGCTGCATTTACACCAAACGAGTCGAATCGATTCATTAGAGTCATTTGACTGGAGTCAAAACGAGTCAGGTGTGTCACTAAATTGTCAGTACCCAGCCTGATTTTGAGCAGTATGGACACACATTCTCTCACTGAACTACAGCGTATGCTCTATTGTGGGTTCGGCGCCATGGAAGGAGGAGAACCCGATTGTGGAAACATGAAATCAACATCAAAAGACCAGATTTTGGTGCCTTTAGTCATTTATTCCCAGACTTGGTGAACCATCCAGACAAATTCTACAATTTCTTTAGGATGACAACAGAAAACTTCAAGAAGTTGGTGGACATGACAGGACCATCTGTCAAGAAATTGGACATAAACTAAATTTATCAAATCATCCGCCTGCATGATGCTGCTCAAACCACAATGGACATGCGGTGACTGACGAAAAAAATGGGTCCAGCCGTATACAGTACCACGACTCGACTCGACTTGGCGTGCCTGACTTGACTCGACTCTCCCGGTGTGAACGGTTTCTGGAGAAATACATATAAATTAATGTGAACTGCAATGGCGAGCCGAGACGAGTCTTGACTTAACTCGACTCGACTTGTTTGGTGTAAATGCAGCCTTAAAGACAAGCAGCATGTGTACCCAGAGTGACCAGCAGAGTGTATGGGGAAACTGAAGTAGCACCTGTGATCACAAAGAGTCACAGATCCAGGTGATCCAGTCCAACGAACACACTGAACCCGATGTGATTTAGTTTAACGTGATGTTTTCTCATCATTCATGGGGTTGATTAGTAAGTGGTATACGAGTCCTTGCACAATTAGTCAGTGACCATTACAGACTTTCTAGCAACTTCATTGAATCATCAGTTGTAAGAACATAAGAATGGAGGAAACTGCAGCGGGACCTATTGGCCCATACAAGGCAGCCCCATTTACTTCCAACTCATATCGCTCATATGTCAGTCCAACCTATATATGAAGCTTCCCAGCATGTTCGACTTAATGATTATGTTCGCTAACTTATTCCACTCATCCACTACTCTATTTTCAAACATCTATCTCACGCCTAAATCTAAAGATCCAAAACCCTGCTGTTAGGTTTAAATATTGCATGAGTAAAAAGTTAACCACCAATCTGACATCATTCAAACCCTGTGTTGGACTCTGCTGTCTCACGTGAAAAGGCAGGTTTGACCGGTCCTCCCCAAACCCCCTAGATCTACCACAGCACCTACCTAGGTGAAAAATTTAAGTGCCATATTCCAAGAAAAGCCTAACAACAATAAATGTACCCTTTCATGTGTGTTGAGGCTATAATAACCGAACAAATTGTAAACCTTCCAGTCATAATAAAGGTCAAAAACATTTACATTACAAAGTGAAGTGTATTTATTTGTACATTTCTCATCCAGGCCTCCAGAAAGGGCCGCAGGTTTGGAAGTTATAGCAAGAGTATCTACTGATCTGCATGTCAAGAAAATAACATGTGAAATATCCAGCACTGAACAATGAGATTTCAGACATATATTTTACACAAAAAAACACATAGCTTATGATCAGTCAGAAAAAAAATACAACAAAATTACATTACACTGAATGTTCTCTTGATTTTTAATGACATCAAAGTTATATAACTGGGATATTTTAGTAAACATTAAACATTCATGAAATGCAAAAAAGAAAATTTAATCAAAGTATTGGAGAAATTCACAAAAATATGAATAATTCCCTATCATTAAGGAATTACAAATATCAATTAGGGATATTAATATCTCATATCATGTGACATAGCAAATTTACCATAAAAGATTCTTATCATTTACATCACCGAGCTCTGAAAATATCTCATTTATACTCAAATCACCATCAGGGAAACCCATAACAGCAACATACTAATCTCTTATCTCCAAAGCTGCTGCTTAGCCATTTCAAAATAAATAGCAGAGATAAGTTAGTAAATGATAATGAATATATCCACCATGGCAGGGGATGGTTGCCTTCTATTAAGCATCATTAGCGGTCCCTGGGTTGGGTTGGATTTGGACGACAACATGGCTGGCTGGCTTTATCTTATTGAGGGACAGACATTAGGATGTGGATAACCTAATCCACTAATGGTCATTAAGGAGTCAACATCTCAAGTCTTACATTTACCTTCCATATGGCATATTTTTTATTTACAGTGTTAAAAATTTCTCATACAGAAGAAATGATTAAGTCTCAAAATTGCTGACCTCATTACATATACCTAGGCATTATGCTTAAGAGCTAATCATATGGACATGGATATATCTATCTATATAAATATATACAAGAACATCCACATATAATCATGATCTACATGTATTTATATCAATAAAAAAAAAATTACTGAAGCTGTGCCCCAAAAGTATCCCACGGCCAGAGAGCTGACATAATGGATCAAAATCTTGTTTCATCCCAAGTTTGATGCAACTCTTATCTCACAACTGAGTATCAAGAACAATCATCAAATATATTTTGTCTACAGTATAATACGAGCGGTCTTTGTGCCACACACACACACACATGTATTCCCTTTACAAAGTCATGTCACAGCATCCAAAAGTCAACTCTCTCAGCCAATGGGAACCATCTATCTTTGGCTTCTGAACTTTCAATCCCACAAGATAAGCAAATCTGAGTTCCTTAGTTGACTTTTATGCCTTAGACTAAGGCAAAAGATAACTACAAGAAACTCTACAAGGCTAGTCTTGTAAAGTTTATGGAAAATACTTCATGTCTTCCAATTATGGAGGCCAAGCCTGTGCAGGACTAGGTTCATCACCCCAGTGCTAAGAGGTTTAGCTCTCACACAGCAGAAACTTGAGCATCCTCTTCTTCATCTGTAAATTGCAATTGCAAGATAACATATACAGTATGTTTTCATAAACATATAAAAGATTAATTTTGGTTTTATATCCACTCCTAATTCCTATCTATGGAAGATATTCATATGTCAAAAAAAAAAAACTATTTCAATGAGTTGTCTGCATTCTGAGCCAACTACAGCACATACAGAGGATATTTTAGTCCCTCTACTGTATATAATACTCAATGTGTCTAATATTCCTGGGTGAATTTAACTACAGTGGTCCCTCGGTTAACGAGCACAATTCGTTCTAGAAGGTTGCTCGTTAACCGAAAAATTTGTTAACCGAAACCATTGTTTCAATGGGTTTTTGGGTAATTGGTTCCAGCTCACCGAAAATTGCCCAAAGTCAACAAAAAAGTTAGTAAAGTACACTTACTTTGAGGTGTGTATGTAGAAGGCTCCTGGATGATGATGATGATGATGATGATGGGAATTAGAATGGGGGTGGAGGAGAAGGGAGAAGAGAAGGCATTGGGGTGGAAGAGAAGTAACCCCATGGCACCATTTCACCCATAAAATTTTAGTTCTCTTTGTGTAATTCAAGATAATTTTCTTTAAATCAACACTGCACTGCATTATATACTGTCAATATGTAAAATAAATTTTATAATGACCAATAATTTGCTTGGAAACACAGAAAAAAAGCATTTATGTTGAAGAGAGTCTGAAGCAAGATGTTACCTCCACTGAAAAGACACAGAGACTGACGCCTGTATGGTGTGTTGACAGGCTGTTTGGCGCGCAAAAAACTAGCTTCCTATACTTCAATTATGTTCAATAATTGTTAAAATGACTAAAAAATTTAATATAAAACTTTTAAAATTATTGAATAGTACAGTGTAACCCTGCTTTACGCGGTCAATTGAACCCACGGAGGCCCGCGTAAAGCGGGACACGCGTAAACTGAACAACAGAACATATGGGATTAATTGAAATAGAGACTGGGCCGACCCCCAAACTCCACTTTTTCAGACACAATACGTACGTTGCAGTAAAAATAACATCTTAATTTTATGATGGTATGCACACACAATTAATAATTAAAAGAAATATCAATAATATTAGGTTTTTTAATACTTACATTAGTAGAAAAGATGGCTGGGCACACAGGGCTGGAGGATTGGTTCCGAGGCAGAGGGCAGATTATTGGCCCTCACCTGTATCACTTGTATCAATGTATCACTATCCACCACAGAGGCTTGTAGGGCCTCTTTGTCAAACCGCTCAAAGTCCATACAAGTCCATATCCTCACTATCACTGACTTGGGCCGGCTGTGGTGGGTGGCGGGTGAAGAACTCGGTAATGTTTTGATGACTGGGCGACCTTGTGCGCACCCTGCCCGAGCCGCTTCCCGCGTATATGAGTAGATGCACCGCGTAAAGTGGGAATTCCGGTTCTGGCGGGGTACCGCATAAATGTAGAAACGCGTAAAACTGAAACGCGTAAAGCGGGGTATTACTGTACAAACTTCTTGATATTTACTAAAATAGTAAGGAATTTAAGCCCTAGAACCGATTACTGTATTGGCAGACTAATACTACAGCTGATGGGCCGCCAAATGCAAGCGAAAACATGTTGAGGGGCGCTCGTAAGAAATTCGTTAATCGAGGGATTGCTCGTTAACCGAAGTCAAGAATCTTATGGAAGGTAATTCGTTCACCGAAATCTCGTTAACCGAGGCGTTCGTTAACCGAGGGATCACTGTATAATAATGCTTATATTCAAGAGATTCATCATCAGATGTTAAAATAAGATCTTACCATCATGGTGTGTCTGAGAATAATATTGAACACCGTCATGAGAAAGAGCACGTCCCATCTTCTTCATTCTGAGCTGGGTTGCTACATAGTCTGGAGGAACACCTGGGGCTCCACGACGAATACGTGCACTACCCATACACATACCTGTTGAGACTATTGAAATCATTATTATTATTTCCCATTTTATTGTAAATCTACTACAATATTAGTTGCTTGAGCAATATCTACCAACTATATCTAGACATGTCTTCTATGTTTGTGCAAGAGATACCTATTTGGAATTCTCTGCTGAGACCTAACATTGTAACAGTTTATATCTCCACATTCAAAAAATTTCTACCAATTATGGGTGTCCAGTACTGATCCCTTGATCTTTCACCCTCTTATAAAAGTACCTCAAAAAGTTCTTGAATGCTCTAAGGGTCAAACAACATGACAAAACGATCGAGAAATCTGGACATGCTCTCTGAGGAAGTTTTACTGTAAATTAAATTACTTTTCCCTGTGAATACTATAAAGATGAGCAACATATACCAACCATTCTGAGATGACATAAGCCATAATTCTCATTCTGAAATCTGTTGTGCCCAGCCGTTTGAGAACTTTTTGTGGCAATAGCACACTGGCTATTTACTGGATATACAGTACAGTATTGTATTTTCATCAGTATAGTTTCATAGGTAAAAATCAATTGAATGGGATTACAAAAAAATAATTTTCACCAAGGTCTCTGATCCCCTTGAAAGAATCTTTAAAATATGTTTGCTGCTCCTACACATCTAAAATTTTATTTCCTCTATTCAAAGTTAAATTTGCTTCTCCCTGTCTGCTTATCTATGAATGACTGTACACATTTTAAGTCTCATTTAACCTATCTATTCTGAATCAATGCAAAAATTTGAATACAATGATATTTGCTTAATAAATGTCAAAAGTTGAAACATGTCCCAAGAAAACTGTGATCTTTCCTTATTCCTGTTATTCATCTGCTGGGATGCAAACCATCTCTGTGTTGTATGTTTAACATAACCTCGTACAATGTCACTCCAGCATTGTAAGTTGCATTATAAAGTAGAACCTGTATATGCAGACTATCTCAGCATTGTGAGCTATTATCTTAACTCAGATGCCACATCATTTATAATAAAATGCATTACAATAACCCAAACAGATTATAAACATGCTACAAGTGCAGTAAAAGCTTTATTATCCACATTCAACTAAATGGAAAGCTATTGCATATGGAATTTTCTGTATCTTTCTATACAAATGTGACACTGGCATGTGATTATCTACCACTCTTTACTTATTGCTTTATACATTCTTTTTTTACACTTAATGTGCCTTTAAACCAAAATTTTCCCAGAATTGCCAAAGGAGTTATTTTAACAAGCAAATTCTAATACAGTAGCTGGCAATTCCTAGGGTCAGCAGATACCAGATAATAAAACTTTTTTTTTTTTATTTCCCATCTTATAATAAAAGTATCACAATGCATGCAGAATGGAGACAACTAGAAGGAACACATAAGAAAAAGGTATCTAATGCACACTATGTAAATGTAGTAGTAATTTGGGTAAGTACATAAATTAAATGGTCAAAAATTTTTGTGGAAATACTCTACAGTTATGTGTGTGTGTGTGTGTGTGTAAAAAGTAAAGCGTGAAAAATAGGTAATGTGTGAGACAGAGAGGAATGAGAAAAGAACAAAAGACATTCAGCTGGTGATGCAAGATATGAGAGTTTGTGAAGACAGGATATAGGAGGAATTAACAAGACACCTCATAATAGGAGAGGCAATGAAGTAAGAATAATTTGGTAGACAGTTCAATACAGGAATAGTTTATTGAGAAGCTACAGAAACACTTTACAATATCAGGTCATAACAAAGGAAAGACCAACTGCCTGAATGGATAATAAGCTGATATTTGGGTAAAAAAAAAAAGATAATACAGTACAATATATGAATTGCTGGCTGAGAGCTATTGGAACAAATTTCCCAGGATCCTGTTAAATGTATTTCCTTTAGACGTGTAAAAATTCTAATGATAAAACTGCACAGGAGGTCCCAGAGTTACGAACAACTGCACTATTTAATGTGATCCCATTATATTCATAATAAAAATCCAGTTCAACCTTTGAACATTCCCCGGTACAGTACTTACGAGCTGCACACTATTTTGTTCACCTGATCCCCTCCACCTTTCAGCCACGTCCAACCCAAGTAACTTCCCAGCAAGAACTACATCCAACTCACAAAACTTCCCCAACAAGAGAGCCACATCCAGCCAAAGCAACTTCAGCAAGAGAGCAACATCCAACCCCAAGAACATCCCCAACCTCTTTTAGTAACTGATTTATGCACCAGTCCTATGAGTAAGGCATTTTCAGGGCTCAAGGTAATTAAAACACTTTATATGTGCATTATTTACAAACATCATTTACATTATTTGTTGTCAGGTATTTGTTATTTTAGATTATACAGGTTGACCACCGATTTCCGGCAATCACTGGTCCGGAACCTCTGATGGTCCAGTCAGTTTTACGGTGGTGGAATTTCAAATTTACTGAGCAAATAGCTTAATGAGCCACCTCTGATGTTTTGGTGGCGCTACTCAAAGCTTGTTTACATGCGGTAGCTTTGTATCTTCTCCGTTTTCACTGTTCTGTGGTACAGTAGAACGTCGATTTATGACGAGATAAGTTCCAAGAGAGGTCGCTTTCAACCGAATTTGTACTAAATCGAAGTGTTGATTCAATGGAATAATATAGTTTGGTACTTGAGAGAAACACAAAATACTAAAAAGACTGAGAGTCTACCCAGATGCACCTCAGCCCATCTCCTAGAATAAACAAAACATTGTTTTTTGTAGTATTATGTTAAAACAAACACTCATAAATAAACACAGCTAAAATTATGGGACGTGAAATGGTCTGTTTACTAGCGATCAACTGAGGGGAAGATGGGGGGGGGGGATCAAATGCAGCTGGAACACACAAGTGTAAGTTAATGGTCATTGGAAAAAGTCTGCATCCTAAGAGCTTTGAAGGGTGAATTACCAATGCCCTTAATTTGGAGTGGTTTGAAAAAATTTCGTGCCAGAAGCCAGAGCCCATTTTACATCTGTTGGACTAGACAAAAATTGCAAAATAATCTTATTAATGATAAATTTAAAGCACATCCCAAGAGAGAACTCCCTGAGAAGAATATTGTCTACGGTGTATACCTACCTCCTAATTGTACATCACTTATTCAGCTACAGGATCAAGGTATTTTATGCTCTCTTCAATCAAAATATCGTTTACAATTCGTGAAAACAGCTATTGAGTGTAGTGAATTCAGGAAACCAGTGCAGTCATTTATTAAAGAATTTAACATCAGAGATGTGCTTTGGTACGTAGGTGCTGCCTGGGACATGGTAGATGCGGCAACATGAAAACATGGATGACATAAATTACGCCCTGCCTTGATGTTTGAGAATAGCCCTGGTGAAGATGACGAAAATGAATTCACTGGCTTCAGGATATCAAGAGTAAAACAAGTTGTGCATGACCTACTAGACTATGTGAAAAATTTAAGTGCACCTGCTGCTGTGAAAGTTACACTAAGTTGAATAAAGAAAACATTAGCGAGTGGATGGATGTGGACGCACAGTTGATGTACCTACTTATGCTATGTCATACAGTATTGATTTTCTTGCAGCCCAGTGTGTATAACTATTGTATTGGGTCGGAGGTCATGGGAGTGGTAGCTCCCCAAGGGCCGTGACCACCCATGGTTCGGCAAAATCGGTGGTCCAGCATGGATCTGGCCCTGATGGTGCCAGAAAATCGGTAGTTGACTAATTGTTATGATTTTACAGGTATGGGTAGGTTTTATTCATATTTTATAGTGAAATTAACAAGGATTTGAGTTATGAACAGGATCCTAAAACACAACCCATTAGTAACTTGGGAACCTCTTGTACTGTACTAGAGGAAGTATAAAGATGTGAATTCAACACAAATTGTATGTTTAAAGAAAAAAATGTGATCTTTTGACTTTTGCTCCAGAAACTTGCATCCACGATCAATAAGCATTTCAATTATTACTGCTCCCAGATAACAAAATACAGTAGATACTTAATATTGGTGGGGGGTTAGGTTTTTGAAAACCTCCTGAATGCAGAAACTGCAAATTTAGAAACCTTAGTTCAATGTGAAAAAGGGAGAGGTCAGTTTTCTGGTACAAGTGAACATAAGGGGAAGTAATAAATGTTTAAGAACAATGATTACTATAATTACTGTATAGTACCTGTATATAATGATCATAATAATAATAATCAATCAAGAGAAATGTTTATTTTTTTACTTATCTTTAGTGATGATAATGATGATTAGAGGTATTCTGTGAGACAATGATGAGCGTGTGAAATTTACATTTTATTAGGTGTGCATCAAAGTTTCAAACACATAATAACCATCCATTAGGATAAACAAAACAGTATTACTGCATTTTCATCTTTTTTCCACACTTCCACATATTTCTGTCTCTTAAAAAATTACAAGATTAACCCAACACATTAGGCTGCAAATTATTATAAAAACTATGAATGCAAAAACCATCAATTTAAAGGAAATATTGCAGCAGCATCAAAATTTTAATATATGCAACACAGACAGAGCGGGAAAGTGGCCAAATCCAGAAGTAAACTCAATGTTCTCACTCCAATCCAAGTAACACTTAATTTAAAAAAAAATTTCTTCATTCTTATATAATATTCCACACAGACTGGTACAGTGCTGATCCCTTTTCTTGAATGGTGTATTTTAAGCCACTTTCATTAATAGTGAAAGAGGGGCAAAACACAAAATCTTTAAAATTTTAAAATTACATTACAGCATAGTTTTAATATTCTTTATGTACAGTATTTATCAAAATAAGCCATATACTTGTTATTAATTTTATTATTTATATCTAAGGCATTATTTACCGTTTTCATATCTGTACAGTACAGGTAACCCTTGAGATACGAGCATTCACTTATACAAATTTTCTAAATTGACTCCAATATTTCGTGTGCCCCCAGGAGTCAGCTGGGGCAGCCAGATCCCCATAGCGCTCTCCCTACTAGGCTGAGGTAGGAGTTATGGTTAATACTGAACTCATAATTTTGGGTAAATATGTAAACATAACTATCTTCATATATTTTTTTTTGCTCTGTTACATGCACACACAATCCTACATACAGAATGTGCAAAAAATAAAAATAAATAAAATAATCATCATAAAGTTAAAGAAAAGGTAATCAATATTTCTTCGTACACCAGCAAGAGTTAGCAGGATGAGCTGGGGGAGTTATGATTATTTTTCAACTCATAGTTTCGGATAGATAAACTTAACTTTCTTCATTTTTTATAAACAAAGTTACATGCACATAATCCTACAAACATACTGTAATGTGCCAAGAAAGAAAAAGAAATAATAACCATAAGGTCAAAAACATAAAGGGAATAAACATTTCTGTGCGTGAGAGCAAGGGGATGAGCGTTGCAAGTTGGCAGAGGCGGACGGGGTTATTGTTATGGCGAAGTTTGAGGGCGGCCACATGTACAACAGCCAGCGTCACTGGTGTCACTGGCGGCTATGTTAAATTTTGATTTAGCTTTTCCTCAATTGATTTTGCTGCATATTTTCATTTAGATAGCATTTTATTAATATTTTTAATGTGTTAGGTAGGAAATTACAGTAACTGTGTGCAATCTATCATTAGTTAGGAAGGGTTTTTTCTTGTTTGTGAACCGTTTTCATGTTTTGGGGGTATTTTTGTCATTGGGGAACTGAACCTGTTTTTCCTATTTGATATACTAAAATTCACCTGATGAATGTTTTGTTTTTAACCTAACCCATTTGTATCTTAAAGGACACCTATACTTAATTGTATGCATCTTTCCTTTACTGAGATTGACTCCTGAATGTTGATATGTAAGGTTAGGTTGTGCTATGATAAGATTAGTAGTGTTCATAAAGAAATGTGTATAAGGGGATAAGTCATCATAATGTCACAATGTAGAAATCATAGTTCACAGGTAAGTTCATTTAAATAAAGTTTGGACAAATCTAGTTGCTAATCAAATTGGAAACAATCAAAACGAATGAAAATATCTAGAACAGACACATTGCTTCCAAAAATACCACTAATGAACACTTCCTAAAATTTTTTAGTACAGCACATTAGTATTCCTAATCCAAGTTTATAGCAAATGAAATAAGGCACTCTTTAAATGATAGGAAAGTAGCTCAAAGGTTACCAAGTCACCTGCAACCAATATACAGCACACTGATGCCATAAGACAAAAGTTGCAACTCAGAATATTACTGGTAGAGGCATCAACATACTTTCCTAATACTGTATGCAGAATAAAAGAAACTTCAGGATTACAGTACAAGTAATACAAGTTTGGAAGTAGAACATGTTGGCCTGCATAAAGCAATAGGTAAACAAAATTTGGAACCTTGAGGTGGAAGGTGAATACCAAATGGCATCAGATGAAGGAAAAGTATATGACTCATTTTGGACACTAAGTATACTGTATATTCAAATGCTTTCACTTCCTAACTGTAGAAATAGGTATTCATTTACAGCTGAGTCTAAAGGGGATGTCCCAGGATCAAATAAGAGACCCTTAAGATGGGAGGTGAACATTGTATCCACTCAGTTGCCATACCTAATGTTAGTATACAGTACTACACAGTACTGTACAGCATTTAATGCATATACAGTGCAACAGTATATATGTAAGAGTTCCGCTCCTACAGATGTTATTAAGTAAAAAATTTAAGGAAGTCAAAACACATACCTAATGTGCATACCGTACTTACAGAACAATTTTTAAAATACCACTACTGTATATCATAGCCCAAGCCCGTGTATACATTTAAAATCACTTAATTTAAGAGAAGAAATAGAATGACAAAATACAGTACTGTAAATGAAAGTAAAAAATATGAGTCATCAGGCAAAGGTATCAGGCAGCTATCAAACAGGGAGGTACTACCACCTGGGAAGATATTGGAAGCATAATGAGCCTGGGTGGCCTAATCCCCATATTAAAAAAAAATTAAAGTTTAATTTAGTTGGACGTATGTAATCAGGGGATTTCAGATTATTTTTAGTAAAAGAGTGTGTTTATAAATTAATTAGAACTGGCTTTATAGACTCCAGACCAGCATGTCCTTAAAATTTGCGGGGGCTTGGGTCTCAAAATGGCCGAGAATTGCCAAAACCACAAATACAGTATCATTTTACGGAAAATTCCGGCTTTGGGAACGATTTTCCGAGAAAATTTCAATTCCAGCTATCGGAGAGTTCCGGGTTTGAGGGATTCCGGCTATCGGAGAGTTCCAGGTTTGAGGGATTCCAGCTAACAGAGATATTACTGATTTTTTCCAGGGATGAGAAATTTGTCTCCATACCTGGAAATATCTCATTCCTGAAACTGCTCTGCACAAATTATTCCGACTAACGAGGACATCTCTTGTACATTGGTTGCTTGAATTAATTTTTTGAATTGAAACTTGGGTGACCTTTTTTCCTGGTGTGCTCAACAATTTTATATATTACTAAGTAAAGGCTACATTTTTCTAGATATATCACTGCTGGAGCATTCATGCATATTGTTGCATTCTTGTTACAAAACCCTTAATGGTGGGTTGGCTGTTAGAATATGGGAAGTTCTTCTAAACATAAATGTAAACACAATGAGAAATGAAGGAGCACTGTCACTTCAGTAGTTGAGGAAAAAGAGGAAAAAATTATATATGAACACGAGACATTTGATAAAAAGACTATATGGTGAGATAATTGGATGGAGTTATACAAGAAGCTTCAAGTTAAGTACCAGGAACAGCATGAGGAAGTATCTAAGTTTATTTGAGGAGGAATCTTAACAAATGTGTGAAGTGTGGAAGAAGTCATGCCAGGGACAACTTCTCTCAATACAAGAGGAATATAACAAGACATAGACAGACCAATAATAAAGGCCACTCTGTATGGTTATACTGTACTACTCAGAATGTATAAATGTGTGTGTGCTTCTCTTCTTACTTAACTAACAAACACCTTATGAAGAATGAGTTATGATAAAATCACTTTTTTCTAATGAAATTTTAAGTATTTTTTTATTTTCATCACACAAGTTATTCAATAAGTGTAAAGCTTCGGGTCACGTAACATGATGTTTTGATCTTTCGCAGGACTATTTGAATAAAAAGGGCAGGCCTGGCTAGATTATGTTGCCAAGTAGGTACTGTATTTATCTTTCACTCGCTCACACATGAGAGCCTTCCAGACTCTTCTCAGTACCTTCTAAGATTTTGTTATGTAAGCATCTCACCCTTGGACTTGACTCACTTCACCATGTATTTCTACCCCCCAACCCTAAAGCACATGTCTAGTATTGTGATCAATTACTGGAGCAGTAATAATGATTGTTAGTAGTGTAATAGTAATAACATATTGAAACAAGTGTCCTGTACTTCATACTACGTACAAATTACAATAGTGTTGTTTACCTCATTACTACTGTGTCACACACACGCCACTTCATGAACATTCTCAACTCTTCCTAGGAAATTTATTTATTTCCTGTTTATATCATGCATGGCCAGTTTGTAGGACTAGATTTGCTTTTTATTTGTGTTTTAAATGTTTCCAAATATACCCACAGAAGTGTTGCCTACCATAGCCCGAAGCCCAGGGGTGAATGAAAAAATTATTTGTTTTAGTTTGTTTTGTTTTAGGTCTTGTACTTGGGTCTCCCGTCATTTTTAGTGTTGGTAAATTGTAATGTTATGTTGCTTTGAAGAGTTTTGTAGAAGTTAAAGTATAGAATAACGTTTAGTTTTTTCTTGTATATTAGCTGTATTGTTTTAGTTTTTTACTTTTTGTTTGTTTTCTAGGCTCTGATGATAAAAAATGAATTTCCAAAACATTACAAATAAAGAAACCCAACATAGTCGAGATGTTTGTGTTTTCCCTGGTTCTCCTCTTCAGACATGGATACTACTGATCAGGTACAGTATATTGGAGGATATTAACCCCTTCACTACGGGGATGCCACTTTAAGATTTCATTTGGTTAACACCAGATAATTTTATTCAGCTCAGAGGGGAGCCCGTACAGAAGGGGTTATTAGATTACCTCCACTAACCTCTTCACTACGGGGACGCCACTTATAATATTTTACGTTAACGCCAGATAATTTTATTCAGCTCAGAGAGGACACCGTATACAAGGGGTTAAGCATATAATTTCCTTGTTTTGAACATTTAGATTCAATATATTCAAGAGAATACTTAAGAGAGCTATGTGCCTGACTTTATTATTAACAATTATATTTTCCAGGCATATAGGAGTGGAAAGTAAAAATTTGTATTGGAAACCTCAGATGTGTCAGTCTGCAAGTCACTATACATTATTGATAGAATTGACAGTACCAATGCATTAAGTAAATTTCTCAATATGCATCAGACTGACTGGCAGTACATGAAAAAAAAATAAATAAAAAATGTGCCACAATCAATTTCCTTGATGTTTACACCTTAAAAAAAATGCACGTGACCTTAAATTAACAAAAAAGCGTAATTTTGTTAGTTTGCTTCACGAAAAATCTTAAAAGTAATCATAGCATTGTAAGTTTTACTGTTTTGATAAAAGGAACCACTCACCTGCTGCTGGGACAGGTGGCAGTACGGCCACTGCATGCGGGAAAGGGGGCCGCGACCGAGATTCTGTTGTGCATATAGCAAGAAGGCAAGTCAAGATAAGCCATTGTGCAGCCATAGTGGCAAAGGCAAGCCAAGAAAAGGAATCGCTTTATGATAAAAAAACACTGAATTACTAAGTTTTGTGAAGAGATTTTTTGCAATTCTTTAACCTCAGAGCTACTTAAGATTTTTTAACATAACATAAATCAAAATTCTTTATTCTCTTCTTTTTCTTATGAATTTCAATAAAAAATCATTAAAGCATTAAACCACGAAGGAAATGTAATCAAATTATCTTAAGAGTAATGGCAGGCTCAATGATACCTAGGAGGGCCACCTCCTGGAAGTTAAGTTTAATGCGTCGGAGGACAGCAGTGGTCCATCTATGAACCACTCAGTGGGCAGTAATATATGCACGCATGAATATTTGTGCACTTTAGGTATACAGTGCTAGTGAAAATATACAACTTTATGTTTGACAAGTGATTCCTCCTTACAGTGTCCCATTTCAACCAAATGTCTGAGGTGCCAATAACTAAACAGCAGAGCACTGTATATATGCAGTTTTTACATTGAATATGAGAGCAGTACCAATCTGGGGTGCCAATTCTAATGTTTTTGAGCCAAATCAAGGTTCTCAATGACTATTGTTGTAGTGGATGGTGAGGACATGAGTAAAGGAGACCAGGAAACCTTCATGTTTGAATCCAGGAGAAAATGCAAGGTCACGGATATTTTTTAAAAACAGCAGAGAAGAGTAGTTTGAGTATTAGCAAAAAATTAAGATTTATATAAATAATGGTGGGGAAATAAGGTAGAGCAAAATAATCAATTACAGTAAATAGAATAGTAAAGAGCAAATGAAGCGTTCATATGAAGGCAGGTGAGACCATAATTCTATTTTAAGGAATGTAAAGAAATGTTTTTCATACTGTAGATAGGAATGAACCTGTCAGCAGAGAAACTGGTCAATGCAAATTTAGTCCTAAAAAAATGACAAGATTTGAAAATAGCTTATCAAACATTTCTAAAATCCTAGAACTTAAGCTTACACAAGGTCGATTATTTATCATTACGCCTTCACGTAATTCTGCTTAAGTCTTAATGTTTCTTTACATCATCCTCTTTCCCAAACTCTATTTTTGCCCATAATTATAGTCTATTAGTCAAATCTCTTCCTCTAACTATTATGTTCCCTCTAGTGTATATGTATTCAACAAATATGAGTTAAAGTAATGTAAAAAATACAAATAAAATAAAATAAAATAAATAAATAAATAAATAAATTCTGCAAATCCTATAAGCACTGCTAATATTTTCAGGGCTATGGGACTGTGAAGTAACTTTTTAGTTCAATAACATTCCACATATGTATGGGAGTCTTTAGAAATACTGGAGGTTTTGAAGGTTCATTATACATGTACAGTATATTACTGTATATAACTGTGGATTGCCTCACCGAGAAAACATATTTTCGTAAACTCAGTGGAAAAGAATGTGACCATACAATACACAGTAAATCCATATTACCCTTCATAGGAGATATAACACAGCATGAGAGGTACACTGATGATTAATGAGAACAAAGTTAAATAATTTCTGGAAAGGTTTGAAGGAAGAAATGAATTGTTAGAATATTTCAGTGATATTATTTTTGGTGCAGTATCAGAGGTAAGTGGTATGGATTAGTGACGAGAATGAAAGTATAAAAATTAAGTGTTTATCTGATGAGGTGGGTATGAATGTACCAACAGTGGGGAGGAGAGAGGTCAGGTAAAGACAGTATGCCAGTTGTGTGAGTAAGGAGGATTATGTATAGATGAACAAATATGAAAGACACAGAAATTAACATAAATTTCCCATCTTTATCACACACATACAAAATGGTGACTCGAATACCAAAAAAAAAAAAGCACAAGCATATGTTTTTATGCAATATCAGAGGATGACAATTTGCCATTGCAGTGAACAGAGGATTGGTATGCTGTCAGCAGCTCTTGTTTAAGCTTGTTCTTCAGGGGAAGTTTATAATGCTGTACAGTTATGCGAGGAGTAAGGATTCTTATTAATTTTCATGTGAGGGAAGGGGAGGATAGTAAAACATGAATGGGACTGTGGAAATTCAGCCAAAATGTAAAAGTATGGTATGATAAAAATCTGGATAACTGCACAAGAGGGGACAGACTTGCAGATAAACATTAATAAAGGCAACTATTTTCTGCTGTCTGAAAGCTTTTACAAATATATAGTCCACCTAAAAATAATTTTACTCTTAATTTCATGGACACTTATCTGAGCTTTCAATTCTGTTTAAATGTGACAGACCTGGTTGGTGTGAGTATCGTCGATGGTGGGCTGGAGGAGAAGAGTGATGATGATAGAGACACTCGTAGCCTACAACTCCCCCAACTTCCAGCGAGGAGGAGGAGTGACCGTCAAAATGGGTAGAAATGCCAGAATCAGATTCACCCAGGCCAACATGACATTCAGTTGATGTCATTGAACCTGTATAATAATAACAAATTTAGTATTCTCATAAACTATACTCATCAAAAACCTCATTGCTTACTCATTTAAAGTTTGTGTCTTACAAACTCAGTTGTCTTAGTTTGTAGTATATTAATGTGGGATACACTTCTACTTAAAATGAATGCATTAAAATTAATCAGGAATATTTGAAGAATCTATTTGGGATATTTTATAAAGAATGGGAATTTATATCAAAAGTGATAAAAACACAGTTACATAAAATATGTTAAATATTTGAGAAGGTTATTAAATGCAAGAAAATTATTCTCAAGCATTACATCTCCAAAAAATTATTCAATTAGTATATTAAAGCATGCAGCAATTCCTCACTTCAAACATTAAGTTCAGTATGTGATTGTACACACACTGTATTGACATTTAATAAGTTCATAGAAATACTGTACTGTATCACTCTATAAAAATTACTTGGAGATCATTAACAGAAATATATCATCCTTCTCAGATGTATATAGCTTTAAAAAATATGCACTTCTGAAATGCACATGAACATTTACCCATTAAATTAAATATAGTACTGTGGGCAGTCATGCAGCCACTGAAGTTCTCCACAGAGATTCCATGCAGTGGTACAGGAGACACAGAGATGTAGATGCAGAAGAGGAAAGGGTGGATGGCAAAGGTGATTATATCTACTATTGTGTGCATTATTTTATGAGCAAACAAATTATTAGGATATTTATCGTAAACTTGTAAAAGGAAATACTATATCAGTACAGTAATTTTTACATTAATCTCAGTACTGTTTCCATTGATAAGAGATGTGGAAACATACACAGACTGTATTTTAGACATATTCAATTTCATTTTCATTGCCATAGTGGTCACAAAATGTTGTGGGAGCTGGATGAACAAGACTACGTGGTTGTGGCTCGGTATCTTCAACTGGCAGGTGTGAGAAAGAAGGCTCTTGGTTATTGAAGGTTTTATACACAGAAAATGGCACTTGAGTGACATTGATAGGTGGCTGATGAAAGTAATGTGATGAAAATGTTTGGAGATCTTCTTGTGTACAATTACTTTCATCATCCAGACTTTTGCTTTTCATGGTTGATAACAAATGCACATTTTCCTTTGAGAGAGAAGCCAGTGGGGCACTGTTTCTACGTAGAACACCAGAAACAGCAGAAGATACAGCTAGATGTTTCAATATTTTGGGACTACTGTTATGTGATGAAGGAGAAGTTTTAACTTCTTCAATTGGGGACAACATTGGAGCACTGTTTCTTCTTCGTTTGTCTTGCCTGTCAAGTGGAAGGGTCGTTGGTCTAGTAAGATGTATATTTGTTGGTTTAAGAAACTGATCTGAATTTGAGTGGCAAGATTTCCTCACTGGCTGATACAGTCTGTTAGGTTTTGAAACTGGGTATGGGCTAGATGGAGTCACCATATACATCTCCTCTTCTAACTCGCGTATCACTGCATTAAGTTTTTCTGCAATTCGCTTGTGAACTTCAGGCTGATCTTTGAATTTCATCAAATTATTGACAGATTCAGACAAAGAAGTACTATTTGGCTGTACCTGAAGCGGATTACTTGATTTTAAGAAAATTTCAGGAGATAAATTACAGGAAGCACCACTAAGTACTGAAGAACCATAAGAATCATTTAGCTGGTCTGAACTATCCAAGCTTTCATCTGCCTGGCAAGATATTTTTGATCTAGTTTTTTTAAACTTTTCAAACCATGGTGGCTTTTTTGAGAATGTTTGAAAACCATTCTGCCCTTCATCAAAACTGTTGAGATTACCTGAATTCCCCGTTTCATTGCATTTCTTTTTTATCTGAACATTTTCACTATTAATCAATAATGATGGATCTGGTATACTATTTGTCAAAAAAAAATTATGTAAAGAAGTACTATTTAATTCTGTACTGACTGAGTCATCAGTAGTAAGAGTTTTGGGTTGGTTAACTTGATACACTCTCTGGGCTTCACCTTTTTTTTGTGGCTTTGTTGGTTTTAAAACAGCTGGAAAATGTGTTTCTTTACCATCTGGGAATCTCTGAAGAGTATGATACCGTTTTTCAGACATTTCTTCTTGGAAATCCTGACATGAAAGTTTTTTTTCCAAATAGAAACGTGATGGTAAAGAAGTATCCTCATCGTAAGTAAAATTATGACTTTTACTCATTTTCATTTTCTTTCTGAAAATCGTACTCAAAGAATTAGAATCTGAAGCAAACAGAGCTTGAAAAGATTTTATCTTAGGAGGTTTTACTTTAGGAGATAATTCTTTGATGCTTGACGACGGAAAATCCTTCAGAGAATATTTCTTAGGGTCTTCCCTATCAACTGCCTTATCTAAGAAATCTTCACTATGACTTTTCCCAAACAATGACCTGGTTAGAACTGGGGATAATATTACTTCCACCACACTGTTTGCTTTGCTACTGCTCTTACTTCTATCATTACTCAGAAGATCCTCACTCTTACTTCTAAAGATTCTTTGAAATATCCCAGAGTTGTTGCCATTTGTAATTTTTTGCTTTGTTTTAGCCAAGTGCTGTATTTCCTTTTGCAAAGAAATTGAAGTATTGTTTTGGAAAGGTAATGATTTATCCTTCTGACAATTATTTGAGGTATCTTTCCAATTTTCATTAGTAGATTCTTTTAGACTGGTAAAAGAGTTGTCCTTTTCTTTTGCACATAAAACATCTTTTTGGCTCGTAAATGAAGTCTCTTTTAAGCTTGAAAATGAGTTAACTTCTAGATTATTAAATGAAATGTCTTGCTCTGTAAGGGAAATATCTTTTTGATACAAGTTGTTCTGAAACATAATTAAGTTATCTCTTGGACTGGAAGATGACATAACTTTTTGGTTGTGATGTGAAATACTATTTTGGATTGTAAAAGAGTTTTCTTTCTTATTAATATATGATGCACATCTGCTGTTGGTACTAGCCGAGTTTTTACGCTGAAGATTAACATCCTTTTTATTACAAAGCATTTCTTGACTTGGTGATGAGTGACATACTTCATATTCATGTGCTTGGTGACAATCTCTGTCATTTGTTATTCCAAACACAGGTACAATTTCTGTTGTAGGAGTAGAATTTAGAAATTCATCATCATCAGGAACACTTAAATCAGGAGTTGGAAGACTACGAGAGAATTCACCAACTTTACATACCAAATTTAATCTTGTTTTTGCTCTTGATGGACGAACTGACAGTGGACTGGTAGCTCTCTCTGGATCTAAGTCACCAGAATTACTACTGTAACTGCTATCAAAACTGCAGCTGAACTGATTTGATTTGAGCATAACTTTGTTTTGTTCTTGTTGAGGTTTCACTCTATAACTTTTTACAGGTACTAGAGGAGTCGAGTTATTCGAAATTGATATGGACTTCCTTGCCCGAGCATTATTACTAGTAGTGGAGAGTTTCTTGACAGAGGCTATAAAGGCAGAGCAAGCTGCAGCATGCACAAAGAGGGGGGATGCTACTGTGGGTGGTGAGGTTATTGTGTGTAAAGGTAAAGTGCCAATATGTGAAGATCCAATAGGTTGAGGTGCAGGTTCTAGCAGCATACCTGAGGTGTGGGATTTGTGGAGTTTGGATAGGGAGGTGACAGAGGAAGACTCTGCACTAAGGTCCACAGGAACTGCATGGGTGTCAGAATGGGAACGCTCATGAGTAGAGCGAGAATTATTGTTGGTCAGGGCTCCCCTGCGGGGAGGGCCAGGGGAAGGGGTGGGAGAGAGTGAATGGTGGGTTGTGGTGGGTCGTGGGCCGTGATGAGGCTTCGTCTTGGGCTCTGCCAGGGCCTTCATCTTGCTTATGGACTGGGGAGATGTAGCTCCTGCAATGTGAGGAGAGTGCTCAGAGAAAGTAAGCTAATCATTGCACTTTAATAGCTAGAAAGTGTTAAGCAATGTTTAAGTAAACTCAAACAGTTATCACTGAAGCCATAAGCTAAGCAAGATGTAATTAAACACCTTGGTATCATTACTGCATTAACTTGCAACTGAAAATATCTCTTTACCAAATTTTGCTGTCTGTTTCTTTCCATCAGATGTCTGGGATGTTGATGATGTTGAAGAAGTAGTAGATGGTGTGGGTGAATTAGGACGCCTTCTAGGTGGAGGATTAGTTGGTGGAGCACTGTTAGACCCACTGTTGTTGTTATTGCTGTGACCAACCGTTCCACCAGTTGGTTTGTGGCCTTCTGAGCCAGCCTCACACTCATATGACATGTTGCGGAGCCGTTCTTCATCCGTAATTATATTCATGCGAGATAAGTAAGCCTTCACTCGTCGAACCATTTGAGCCTGTTGATGATATGAAATTAATGAAAACTAACACTGGCATGTTACATATCTCACTCATAACTATGGGAACAACACCCAGAAATATATTTTGTAATCTGACATATGAAGACTGTTACTAAAAGCACACAGTTTGGTGCAAAAGTTCCTCTATCAATTAAACCATCTATCTTCATCAGTCATTCTTTCCATCATCATCTATTTACACCACAGAATTATTTCACCCTTAACTTTTCTTACTCATTCCTTCTTCCTCTCATATCTAACAACATTTCAATCATTTATCAATTTAAAAAATCTGAAGTCTGCAGCCATTATTTTATATAATATTCATGCTCTTTAAGCAAAGCATTCAGTTGAAGAAACTACACATATTCCTTCAACCCTTACCACATCGATGGACTTGCTATTTTTCCCTTGACTGCCATCTACAGTAGCATCTCGATAAATCGGACTAATTGGGGCAGACCCCAGTTCGAAAAATGAGTAAGTACGAAAAAAGTGAATATAAGGGGAGGGGGAGGTAACACTGCATATCCAAACTGTTTAAAGAAAATCAATTGTTGTTATGGTATTACTGCACTTCAACAACTAAGGTCTTTAAGTGTATAACAAGGTTATTAAAATAACATTACATCAACAATAAAAAAATATGCATAGAACTCTCTGGGTTGAAAATGACACTTAAGTCTAGATGTCAACGATTGTCTTCATAGAGATGATTTTTATTTACTGTAAAGTGTTACATATAAGCAACCACAGAATTTGTCTTTTGAATAAAGAGAAAACTGTATACTGTACGGTACTATAAAGATAAAAATAAGAACAAATAAGTGCAGGAGTATATTGTATGTGGAAGACAAGTGTTTATCTAGGAGCAGCTGGCAGAGGAGACGGGAGGGGGGTAACACAGGTGGGTGGCTTCCAACCCCCAAAATTCCTTTAACACTTCTTCATGCATTTTCACCACAATTCTCATATAATCTAGATTCATTTGGTACCAGGTTGATGAAATTATCCTAAAACAATCAGCTTTCCTGAAAAAAGAATCTCACCATGAGACATTTGTTTACAAAGGGCAAACAGCTGATTGGCTTACCACGTCTGTGTTCAACACTTAGTAAATTAGTACAGTACAGTTGTGTATACATCATCACTTAATAAATACTATTGTAGTGTAATTATCATCACTTAATAAGTAATACTGTAGTGTACAATATTGTGTATTTGCATATATCCTGGTTTATCCATTAATCATTTGTCTAAGTGTACAAATAGCCAAATTGAGCCATCATATAACACTCAAATGTAGTAAATAATGTTGTTAGGAGGGTACCTTCATATCAAATATTATATAGTGTGATATTGTGACCCCTGTTGTAAGCTGGTCTGCTGAAACCTCTCACACGAGCGCATCTTGAGTAAATAGCCTTCTGATATAGTTTATCCTTTTATTTTCAAGTCACATTACAAATTACATACAGTATTGAATTTTGTCTCTATTACTGAAGATGTTATATTAATCATGATGAACCATAAACCATAAGAGGCCAATCATATGAGAATATAATACTGAATCAATAAATAAATAAACCTGACAAATGCTGCAACACCTGACAGCCCCAGCCTGCTTACATACTCAAGTGTCTTAGTTCTCATTAGGCCTATAGCAAATATGATCAGACTACTGCACAGTACAGTATTCAGCAAGTGTGGTTCTTTTCATAAGATTTTTTTTATTGATCTTCCCCATTTCTGAAAATGTGTTTTTTTTATAGTATTTCTGGTGACCGCAGCACCTCAGAGTCCAAAAAAAGCAAGTTCCAATATATTGAAGTCCGATTTATCGAGGTTTTACTGTATATAATATAAATCATCCACTTCCTGAACATGAATTTCAAATAATACATGATGCAGCACCCTGCACATTCCTGGGTCATACAGAAGAAATAACAACATAATATACAAACCTCTTCATACATCTTCTTCTTATCAGGAGCAGCAGTAGACTTCTTACGTCTCTTGACTGTAGCAATCTGGTGTCCCCCACCAGCCATCTGGTTAAGTGAGATTAATGCCGAACTTGGAGGCTGTCCTCCAGCATCCTGGATAGTAAACAAGTCCTGAGGAAAGGATGAAATTATTAATTCACTACCAATTATGTATTTTGTACTACCAATAACTTGTTTTGTATTCTACCCTCACATACAGTATTATTCCCACAAACTTTCTTGCCACAGGATAAGATGAAAAGTGAAAGTGGGTCCAACAGGCATGATTACCCGTTAGGTAGAGTGTGGATACAGCTCACTGCATACAAAGCCTTTGATACACAAGGTGGCAGTATTGCTGGTACTGTACTCAACAGCATTCACTTCCCCAAGTTGTAAACTTAGGTACCCAATTTACATCAGAGTGAACTGGGAGCTCGGTGATTGAACCACTTACCCCTGAAACAGGAGGCAAGTGCTGTAGTCACCTGACCACTACACTCCTTACAGGATAAGACAACAGGCAGTAATAGTATTATCAACTTACATAAGGAGCAGAACACATGTTCTGAAGATCTCGAATGTATCTAGAGATCATTCTGAGTTTTTCAAAATTGATGAGGCCCTCAATCTTATCATCATTACCCTCGTGAGTGAAGGTTAAGTCCCTTGCAACTACTGGGTAGAATGGAATCTGTGGGAAAAAAAAAAATCAATCAATCAATAAACAAATCACACCATAAAAATGCTTTCTATCAGACTGAGAAATTGGAAATTGAGAGTATAATAATTTCTATTCAACTACAAGTACTTTATTTTCATTTTAAACTTTAAAGGTCACTCCAACAAATATTGTATAGATAAAAATTTCACATCTGCTTCCTCATTCAACATGACTTTCTTTAAATTCAAACTGAAACTTTTTCAAATTCAAACCATCCTGGTAACCATCATCCTTCAGTTAATATCATTAAATTCCTTAAAATTACTCCTTTACTTCCATTTTATAAGATGATACTGAAAGATATTAAACATTACAGACTATTTTTGACTTCTCAAAATTTAAAAAAAAAAAAGCTTATCTGTCTGTTCACTTCTTTACTACAGTACATATTCTGAAATATTCTTATGGATTCCTGTAATCTAGCCCTTGCACAGTTCACCAAACACTCTGGGATGTATTTCCAAACCTATGCATGAACTCTCATAGTGCTTCTATATCCCCACTTATTCTTTATACTGTAGGTGCTTTCCACATTTTTGAAAACACAACTGTCATCAACTCTGGTTACTTTATATGAATGTATCCTACTCAAACTTCATAGAAGATCAGCAAATAAGATTACACAGATAAATATCACATAAGCACTTACAATTGGCGACTGTATATTTTCATTCTGAACTAAGTTACGATATTTGCTCATGTTCCTTGAGGGATCCATTAGCTCTTGCATTTCTTGGTACATTCGCTGATATTTTGATGGCAGTCGTTCCCAAGTCTGTTTCAGTCTTGAAACTGCACCGTGGCCCAAACCCGAGAGGATGGCGAACATGGAGTTGAAGTTTTTACACTCTTTGCATTGCCCTGAGAAGAAAAGTTTTATATATATAGTAACCTCTAAAAATTTTATTTGTCTTCCTGCACTAACAACATGGTATGAAAATAAAACTATATACAGTATTGTGAAGAGCATATAGGTATTTAATATTTTCAAACTTAGTTCCCATTAATAAATAGGGCTAAAGTTTTTAATTATTTACAGAATTAATATATTTTTAATATAATTTGTTTTTATGTAAGTCTTGTATATATGTAAACTGGACCCTCACTTTATGCACATTCACTACGTATTTGCAAATTCGCATTTATGTGGCGACTTTATTTCTACCCACAATTCATTTTATGCGGAAAAGATTCCATATTATGCGTTCTGTAGAAGACATGGTGCATTACATTAGATTATTTTAATGATTTTTCTACAACTTTTAGAGCATTAATGCTCCAGAAATGGTTGTGAAACATGACAGTGTGTGTGTGTCTATTGCACTGTATGTTACATCACAGGATGTGGCTGGAGTGGTGAGTCAGCCACTCCACACACTTTCACTTTCAACACAAACACCCATTCTCTCCATATGTCTTAGTTTATAGTCTTATATTCGATTTTATAGCATTACTGTTGACTTTTAGTAGATGTGGAACATAACCTAATTTTCCCCATTAGATTAGGTATTCACTATATGCGGATTCCTATTATGCTGTGTTGTCACACAATGCAACCATAACATAAAGAGAGGGTCAAGGGTACATACAAGTAGAGTCAGAAACAGTATTTTTTATATATTTTTTATTTTATTTATTTTTTATGGGGATTAGCCCACCCGGGCACAGGTCATTGACCCACATCGGGGCCTGGGGGGCAAAAATGTAATACAGTAATAATAATAATAATAATAATAATGATGCCCCCCCCCCCAGTAACCGGGGCCACATCCAGTGAAGGCCGATATTGACACAAGGCAACATTGCCAGCCATAATACTGTAGTTCCAAAACTACCCAGCAATGTTAAGACGGGATGGGGGAAGGGTTTGTCCGACTGCCAGGCCTTCACTTGACATGAAGCAGTAATTGCAGAGTTGCAATTACTGCTTTTGACTGCACAGTATCAACTAGCAATAATTAGTCAACTCTTGCAATATGATTTCAGAGCTTTTAATACTTATTGACCAGAGAACCATATTACACTGCTTTATACATCAAATTTATCTAGTTATAGTACCAGCATTTTATGAGTTTCTGTTTTTTCTCAGAAACTATTGTGCATCATTTCAAAATTATGTAGATGGGATGGAGTAAAAATTATAAACTGAGAGAAAAATAAAATACAGGATTCCAATAACAGGCATGCATAAAAAATGTAGAAATATAGTAGGCAATACAAGATAACCAAGAGATATGAGGGAAGAGAGGAAAACAAAGTCCACAGTAAAATATAGTACAGGTACAGGAATATAGGTGACATATAAGATAAAAAAGTACAACTGAGTGAATTTTCTCAAAGGAACTTACTTGCAACTTTAATAAACTGCTTAATAGTCTTGGAACGCTTGACTAGATTGTGTTCCGAGCAAACTTCCGACACCACCCAAAACATTTCTCGATTCACAAGCTGCAAGTGGGAACATAATTAAATTGTTAATTTATTAAGATAATTTCTGAAAATAAATAATACGTATAACTACTGAACTGCTGTGCATGAATATAAAACTTTGCAATTCTTATTTTCTTCAAGCATTTCCATTTTCTTATAAATAAACAAGTAACAAAGGATTAATCTAATTATTAAACTAAAAATAAAGTTCTTTAGGAAATTCTCTGAAAGAATTTTAAATACAATAGTCTTGGACAAGTTAGGTCTGATGATTGTAGATAAATACAATGTTACATAAATAACTCTGCATGTGGTACTTAGTCTTAAATATAAAAAAGGGGAAACCTACACAAAAGATAAAACGAGTGTAATTTCTCTAAAGTAAGATATAGTTGCCATATTGCATTAAAGACAGAAAAAAAGATAAAGTACAGTTGGTGATCTTCTACAGTGGATACATACCTCAGCAAACTGAGACAGAGCAGGGGTTCCATAATTAGATTTTAAATTAAAGAGGTAGTCAATATATTCTGTGGGCTCAATCTTGCGGAATACTGTGTAATCCTCGAGAGTAAGTTGAATGGCCAGCTCTACAGAGTTGAGTTGAAGGAAATACACTGTCGATTCTCTGACTAACTCATTGACAATATCATCAGGAAAAAGTGTTTGGGAGACAGTGATGTTCTTCAAATAATACCTGCTGCTCAGTCCTGAGAAAATATATAAACATATATCATTAATATTTAGTGATAACACAGTATTTTATGGACAGAGAAAGAGAGAAAACAAACACATCTAATTTATAGTCAAGAATAAAGGTTATAAATTCATACACAAAATATCATAAATGACAATTCCCCATACCTATTCTCTCTGCTAAGTTCTGTAAAGAGTCTTGCAATCGTTTTTGTTTGGTAAATCCTTCTTCTGTGACAGTGATCTCATACAAAGCATAATTGGATGAACCAGTTGGGTCATTAATGTTGAAGATTTGTAACGCCAGCATCACTACCTCACGAGCTGTTGTCTCCTTGTGGACCGGTAGGAATCTTGCCGACTGGTCTGTTGCTCGATAAACCTATTCGAATAATTAAAAATCACCATCATATAATGATATACAATTTGAAAATACAGTTGAAACCATAAAAATTAGAGCACTGTACTGTACCAACATTCAGAAAATTCACTATGAATAACATTTCTGCATCGAGTATTAATTTCTGCTGATTGTGTACTGTATCTAAGTCATTTACATAACATACAGTATAAATAATTGTACAGTATTCATTACATACATATATTCATGAAGTGATCTTATTTTCTTGGATGAATTGGAGGCATTTCTACTCTGTGTTTTAAGGAAATATTTGTGCTTCAACCTTAAAACCTTGATGGTTTAATTCCATTGTTAAAATAGAAGGAGTGGGAGTTACAAAAATATAAGGAGGAGGAATAGGAAGGAAAGGAGATGAAACTGGCAAGATGAGTTGGAGAATTGGTCTGACCAATATAAAGACTGTACTATTATATCTATAATAGCTAATATACGACATACCTTTAGCACATGCTCTGGGAACTCGGCTCTAACATCATCAAATGCACCTGTTGTGCTAAGATCAGGGTTGCTGTGACTGTGGTACAGTCCCCCACCCACACTCGAGTGTGAAGATACACTATCATCGCTGTTAGCTTGTGAGTCTCTGTAATGAAACAATTAATTCATTAAATAATATACCAGGTAACTTTACTTAAAAATAATATAATGAACATAAACAGTTGCTTTTATTATTTCCCTTATTATTCCCATTCTAGAAAAGTCGATTCCTCATAAAAGTTTATATCACACAGTGAATTAAATGAAAATGCATCCTCATTTAAATAAAATGGTATTATTGAAAATAAAAAAAAATTAAAAAATCATGAGTTTGATCAAACAACAGTGAAGAAAAGTACTTACTGATCACTGATCATGATTGTTAATAAGGAAGGCACATGTTAATACTGAGTAATATAGAATATATACAGTCAACCAATAAAGTAGTTAAAAAAACAAACATCATAAGTCATGTGTCTATGATTGGTACTGTACGTACATCAAAAGACCATAATAAAGAGTAAATTTTACAAATTCAAATGATTTTAAAACTAATTTAATCATGTACAGTATATACATGCAAAGATGAAAAGTAATATGGTATATATATATATACGTATTTAAATATTCATATTTAATACTACTGCAAAAATATTTACTTACTGTTGCGGCTCCTAGAATAGCAAACCTATCTCACCAGTGGAGCATGAACACTTGGAGGGGTTGTAGGGTCACAAAATATTTAAACATTTCTCAAATACAGTATTACCACACCAATGAACCACCTGAGTCTTTCATTAAGAATGAATCACTTGGGGGAGGGAAGAGAAATAGTGTCGGAGTCTTGAAAACACAGAATCACCAGAAATATTGTCTATTTCTTTAATAATAAAAAAGGGGTATTTCAAGTTTACTTCATGAGTGTGTGAGAGATTAAAACTGAAAACAAAATGAATCAATCATAATTTGGGGGCCTTTTATTTGTGTGAACCAGCTCTGTGAATAAATTCTAACTAACTAACAATGAATGAGAAAACTTTTTGTCCAGGCTATGCTGACCAGCAAGAAATGATGTTCTATAACCAATTTTTGGTCATCATTATTGCATGAATGCAGAGATTATGTAATGACCATATGAATGTAGAATTTTCAGGGTTAACCAAATTCAAACTTCACCATTTAATTGATGACTGGATGGCTCATAGACTATGGTTACCTGTCTCCCTGTCACCCCAGCTTTCTCTCAAGGTGCCACCACAAAGCCATGGTTAAATTCCACTTACACAACACCCCTCTCACGAGTAAATTATTATTATTTTTCATTTCAATAATTCTAATCTTGCAATGATAATTTTCTTCCTAACTAATACAGTATGCAATAAACTTACAATGCATTGTTCCTTGGCATGAGAGACTCGATGACTTTCTTCTTGAATTTGTTGGCTTTTGTGGTCATGGAGGATCCCTTATTATTGTTACCAATTTTGCCTTTATCCCTAGGAGACTGTTGATTAGGATCATAAGGTATATTCATGGTGGAAGCAAAGGTGGCATTAAGTGGCAACTGATTATTGTCACTGAGGCCGCGTGCATCTGAGGTCCTCCTTGACCTTGGTCTTGGAGAGTTGTCTGGTGTCATGAGCATTTCTTTAAATGCTGAAAAAAGAAGAAATGCTTTTACTACCTGGTAATGTGATAAAAAAATAATAATAATCATTACTGCATAATGGCCACCAACAGCTGGATTTGTTACATAAATAAAATGTATTACAGTGTATATTTTATTTTTACGTATCTTCTAAACTTGTGAAATGTTTGTCAAAAAAATCTCCAATAATTTCTGAGTCATGAGCAGTGTTAACAGACAAAAACTAAGTGTCGAGAATATTCCCTTCAGTCAAACCCAACATATGACAACGAAAAAAAATTCTTCAAACAATTATTTTTTTACCTTGTTAAAAAAAGTGAAAAAATACTCTACTTAATAAAGAAGAACTGGGAAGAATAAATATCAATTAAATAAATTAATAAGAAAACAAATAAAATACTGTATATCCATAGACCTGACTACATTTACACAAAAAAATAATTAAGTTTTAGGATTAAAGTAATAAGAACATGAGAAACAAATTTCAATACTGTAATATGCATTGACAGTAAGACTTACACAGGTGCAGGCATGGATGCACATCCTGTAATGCAGTGCAGAAGTGGTGGATAAAAAGTGGAAAACAACATATGCCTAAGGGCGGCCATTCTTCTCTCTCAATCCTTTAATGCTACAAGAATTTGCATACTTTACTCAACTGCTAAATAAAGCCACTATACTATAGTCCTGATAATACAAAGTGTAGTGCTTTGCATATTATGCAGTTCCATGTGTCATAAATACTTTTCTCTATACTCGAGTGGTCAATGGCAGTAAAAATATCTTTAAACAAAAATAAAACACAATTATATTACCTAATAAATTGCTCTTCACAGTAATAGATAAATGACAGGTTTGTCGAAGAATTTCAAGAGCCTTTGCATGATTCATGTGATCAAAGCTCTGTCCATTAACTTCCAAGATCTGGTCACCACGCTTCAAACCAACATCTTCTGCCTTGCTCCCTTTCTCAACCTGAAATTTTATCAACATTTAATTTTCCAGTCATCATGGATATCACTTATACTGAATGCTTTTTCCTTCAACTCTTGTTAAAAAAATGGGCATTGTTCATTTTCTAATTGGCATATGCTACAACATCAAGCATGAATTTATTTTGTTATCTGAAAAAAATAAATAAAATCCTTACCATGGATATAAATATACCATATCCTCTTTCATATCCTCCTAAAATGGAAAATTGAAGGATTTCGTCCCTACTAGGTCTTGTCAGAGTCACAGTTCTTGCTTGGGCCTTTGTGGCGCAAGCAAAGTCTAATAGACGAAGCTGGCCAGCCATCTTTTCTCTCTCCAAACCTTCTTCGAATTGTTCCAAGAAATTCATCATGACCGGGTCCATCTCAAAGTCAGTGAAGTGATTGTTGACCCACAGCAACACTACCCGAGTCACTCTATCTCGTAGGGATGGTTCTTCAAACCTGCAACACATTAAAATGAGAAGGTAGCCCTTTGCTAAATTGCAACAGTACAGGACAGCATATGGATATTAATAAACTCTAACTTATCTTCATAATAAATTCATTTTTATATGTTGAATTCCATGAATTTCTTGGCAAGAAATTAGACTTCTTAACATATTTTCTGATTGTAAGAATTAAGAGAATACAAACTTTTGGAGGAGTAAGGAGATTAAGTTTCAAAATTACTGCAGTCATAAAGTACTTTAAGTTGCTATCTATATTAACTAATACACATGGAGTTTATTAATTTCAGAAAATATCCTTTAACTGATTGATGCCTCAAAGAAATAAGTAGAATACTGTATCATCTGCAAAAGGTGAAAACTTCCCTGTAACTTCTGTATATCTTGCACATCAACTTTTTCATTTTTTAATCACCATAAATAATTCATACTACAGTAAACCCTTGCGATTCGTATTTCGACGATTTGCGGTACGCAGATAGTGGCTATGATGGCTAGCTTGCGAGTCTCTCCCGCAGCGCAACGAGTCGCCTTATGTGCCCACAGTATCTCCTCTCCCTCTCTTCGTGCTCAACCATTGCCTGCAATGCAGCATCTCTTGTGTTGTACTCTCAAAACTTTAGTGTTTGTGTGAAAATGGCCCCTAAATGACTGCCTAGTGTCAGTGCTAGTGGAGTGAAACGTAAAAAGTAGAAATCATTGACGACCCTGATAAAGAAAGTTGAATTATTAGACAAGTTAAAGGAAGGGATGAGTGCTGCCATAGCAGGTCGGTTCTTTGGTCCGAGAAATCAACCAGACATTGGTTCCCTACCAGGAAATGTTTAAAGAACTCAAAGACAAGAGAAAAAACTATCAATTACTATGTTTTTCAAGAAAGAACCAGCCACTCGTTCAGCTGATTTGTCACCCTACCTCACTCAGTCAGCTGCTGCTGCTGTTCCACCACCCTCCTCCCAGCCACCAGCTACCTCACCACCCACCTCCCGGCACACGCGCTTATCCACCACCCGCCTCTCCACCAACCACCACTGCATCACCCTCTTCCAACAGTGATCCTGATAATCTCCCTATGCTTCAGTAACCAGATTTCTTCCTATGTACATTATACCACTTTATCAAACTCCAAACTTCCACATACTAAGGTAAGCACAGTAAAAACGACTTAAGTTTTTCATACACAGTATGGGTAAACATTAGTGCACTTAGGCAGTATAAGTAGCTATTCGTGGTTTTGCCAATTCACACCATTCCTTGGAACCTAACCCTCGTGAATAGCAAGGGTTTACTGTATATACTGTAGTCTCCAAAACTCTTACCAATGTAACAACTTGTTGGCAACTGTGAGTGGAGTTACAATAAATGTTCTGTGGGTAAGTAGGAAGTCCTCCACATAAGTTGGGTCTACATTATTCTCCACCTCCACTAGTTGTTGCATGAGTCTCTCAGCTGTACCCTATAAATGTAAATGTTTTTAGCTAGTAACAACATACTATGAGACTGCAGAACAAAATGGAAATTAGCCATGTAAAATAAATCAAGAGTTAACACAATAAGATAAAATACGTACAGTAAAAAAATGTTCGTTACACACATACAATCTTTAAAAAGCCTTCATAAAACTACAGGCTACACAGATTTCTCTCATAGCAAATTAAAGGATAGTATTTAGGATAATGTATAGTAATAATTTTTCATATGCTCTCATTAATGAATGCAATGTACTGCAATTATATGTTATATGTCAATTAGAATTTTATATACCATTTGAGTTGTTGTCACCCAAGACTATTACTGTATATGTATTGGAGTCTTTCCATAACTGTGATTCAATTCCTCTCCTAATCTGAAACTGAGGTATATCCATGCAGCCCACTAATATTTCCCAATAATAGTTTTATTAGCTTTATCCATAAGAGTAGTAGTTCAAGATACAAATACTGTACTGAAACATACAAAGTCTAACAAACCTTGATGACAATATTTCCTTTCCTGTTGCCTGCATCTATTGGTCTCTGTTCAGTTATCAAAACCAGTACTCCATTTTCTTCAATACGACGAATGTTTTCTTCCGACTGGTGCAGTATGCGATAGTAGTCAGTCTGACGGATGCAGACAAACTGGCAATCATCCACTTTGGAGCGCATGATACCCTGGTGGTACAGTTTCTCCATCGTTGGAGTGATGCCAAAGCTGGCAGAAGAGAAGGAATTTTTGGTGATCACATTTTGTCTCTTGACAAGACTGCAAAGAAAAATTGTACCATGCAAAAACTATTTATACATGTACATGCTCTATTCTTTCTGAAATTACTCAAACAATCTTAAGCTGGATTACAGAAAGTCTTCTGGAGAATAGTAGCTGTAGTACTCTGCTGCAAGTAAATTATTAGTCTAATGAATTTCATCAGATCATTAATAGGCAGCCGAGCATTTCCAGAGACATTGTGAAATCTAGCCTGTTGATCAAATAGTTTTGTGTTACCTGTCTCCTAAATGAAGCTCATGAACAGAGCCATCAAGCTGAGTTACTTCAACATGACCATTGATGATCACACTCCATGAGTCCAACTCCTCACCATGATTCATGAGAACTGTACCAGCTTCCTCAACTACTGCAAAAACCTGTAAAATAGGATAACTATTAGAGCAAGGAATTGGTGGATATTCTCTAATAATACATTAAATTGAGACGGTCTAGGGCGGCAAGTTCAAGTCTCTACCAATCTTTGCTGGTCCATCACCCAGGGCCAGATCCAAGGGGGGAGGGGGGGTTCCTGAGGGTCCGGACACCCCCCCCTTTCATAAAAAAATTCCCAATACTTTTTCTTTAATGCAGAATTGTACTCAGGCATTTTTGTATAATAAAAAGTAATTAATATTGACCTCAGAATACCTCTTAATATCAAGTGCACATGGCTTCAAAATGACCTCAAAATGCCAATGATATCGATCAGATTTCAAAAAATAATTGGGGGGTTACACTCCACTCCCCCACACAAAAAAAACCTCCCAACTGGTTGGGTTCACTGTGCTCGCCATGTTCCTCTACCCACAACTTCTTGAACCCCTCCCCCTTTTGAAATTCATGGATCTGCCCGTCACCACTCTTATTACGCCTTATTACATCACATCAAGCTGCCACTCTTAAGCACAAGAAGAACTATCACTGGGGCATTTAGGCATGAATGTGTGGAGCACACTAAGTTGGGGGGGGTTGGGGAACGAAGTAGGAGACACATGTGAAAAAGCGCAGAGAGGCAGGAATGAGTCGGCAGTATGCAGAGCCCTCTTGTGGCAAGAATTCACACCACGCCACTGCCCACCAAATTCAAAACAGCTCGGCCGCTCCTCCCCCAATCGTCGGATCTCCAGGGAATCAACGAAACTTGCGGGGTATTTCCCCAATATGTAATCGTCCGTTATGCGAATCAGCGGTTAATGGGACGTAAATTTTCAGGGTATACCTGTACTGTACTGTATTGTATTGCAATACACTTAATTTCATACCTAATAATTATTGATTATTTGTATTTAATTGTTTATTATAATCATATGACTTTCAATAATACTTTACTGTACATGTACTATACCTGTATAGGGTAGCATTGGGGGTCCAAGCATTAAAAAAATTTAAACTAAATTCAATTTTTACCTGCAGCTCATGCAGAGTGATATCAAATGCAATAAGGCTATCACTATTGCATGAATAAAATTTATTCTTTATTTCTACACTTCGTTTATATTTTCCATTTACAGCACCATTTTTCATTAACAAATAAGAGTTATAGCCTGTACAGATTATATGAAGTTGCACAAAGATATTAGAGTACAGTACTATACAAGGGGTACTGTACTATCTTCTTTCATCCAAAGTTCTATGAAAAGAATTTTATTTTTAACATATACAGGGTACAGTACAAACCCAAATGTGGGTTGTGAGCTTTTTTTTCAGTTTAAAAAATTTATTGACAAAGCTTGTGCCAATTTTCAGTGAGTTGCAATGACCCAGCAAAGTTATACTATTTGCCTATTATTTATTTAAACTCTCTAGGTCACCGGTACACAGTGGGAGCCTCCACCCACTTTATTTACTGCTAGTTGTGCAGTACCTTGATATCAAATTGCTAAATGATATGGCAATAAATTTGATCTGATAGTTAATTTTTTTAGTATCTGCATTTGAATTAATGGGTTGAAAAGTTCCGAGATATTCAGAATTGGGTTGCACTCAAAAAAATTTGAGAACCACTGATTGTAGAGTGATCTGACAGGTGTTAATCTGAGTTATAGCATACAACATCTAGGACACTTTCATTTATATTTTTGTATAAAAGCTCTACACCATAATTTCTTCTTTTCATGTAGGCACTTCTGCTTCAGATACCCAATTTATCAATCCAATCAAAAGTGATGAACCAACTCAAGAGGCTACAAAAGTACAAACAAGTACAGTAGTTTGTAAGATGGAACTGTTCTCTCAAGTACAGCATTTAATTTACTGATCACTCATGAAACATTGAGAAATTAGTTCTTGAAATACTGTACAGTACTGTATTCAACTTCACAAAGCTCCTATGAGAAACAGCAAATTTTATGTCATGCAATTTATTTGACATAATTCTCATCAGTTTTCTAAGTTTCATAAAAGACTCAAGTGGAGACTGACTTTTGTACTACAGTCCAGTATTACATTAAGGAATGATTAATGTGTAGAATTTCAACAACAAAATTATGTCAGCTTAATGGTACTGTATATCAATCTTCCAATGTGAAAATTATCAAAACTTAACAATGCATGTACTGTACTGATTTCTAGAATATACTTTAAATGGTGGGAAAAATGGTTTCCTTTGACTCAAGTACTGTAGTATGACTGAAACAATACTGTGTGTGTATATATATATATATATATATATATATATATATATATATATATATATATATATATATATATATATATATATATATATATATATATATATATATATATATATATATATATATATACACTACTGTATATGAGTGAGTGAGTGAGTGTGTAGTACAGTACAGTACAGTACAGTACAGTACATAATAAAGGAAAATACCTCCAGGGAGACCTACCATGGCGGAACACATAGCTTTCCTCACTGCCAGAGTCATGTTGGAGAAGGCTCGTAGTCGCTGTGTAAATTCCAACAGTACTTTTATGTCGTCCTCGGTGCGTTCACTAGGATCCTTCTCCAGGCACTCCCGCACCGCATCACGCACAGCTAAACTCTGTGGGGAACAGCAATTATTATTATTTTTTACGGGAATTAGCCCACCTGGGCACAGGTCGAATGACCCACAACAGGGCCTGGGGGATATAAATCTGTCACTCTGCTACTGGTAATAATTACATATATACTGTACACAGTAATTCTCAAGTAAAAGAATAATGTGCCAAGAAAAAAATCAGTCTAACCATGAGATGATATATACAGTACAGTATATAATGCAAAATTTAATAAAGTACAGTACTGTATACTGTATTGCATGTATGTGCAGTACCTGTAGTACATAAGATAGACTTCAAACAAGGTTTAGGACTGGGAGTTAACATAATTATTATTAATATGAGTAGTAGTAGTAGTATAATCATAACACGTTACAGCTGTAATGCAGCTATTATTTTTACAAAATACAGGAGTCGACAAAAACAAGTACAGCACAGTATGTATTTGTATGTGAGATGAAATAGCTGTAGAATCACACTGGCACCACATATAATAATGCACTAGGTATATCCCACACCATGAAATGGCAGTCAGTAATCGCCTCAAGAATGGTAGCATTAAAAATATGTCTTGCTTATCCCGACTTGTTTTGGTTTAATATCATCCTCTAAAGTGTGGTTAAGCAAGTTATAATTACCTAAAAGGCTGCTTTATAACACACTCTCAACAAATACTACTTGAACATAGTTAGGGATCATGTGCAGAGTAGAAAAAGAAGTTTGTTTGTGACTTAAGGGGCTATCTGTATCTCAATCTTGTTCATCCTAACTTAATATCCTTGAAACAGGAAGTGTGGTATTTCCGGGAACCAGAAACAGACCCAGTGCATCACCTGCTAGTACACCAAAGTACTATACAGTATATATATACAATAGACAGTGTAGACCATTTCACTTTTTAGGTCACGACCTCATCACTACAGTTTTGTGAAAACAGTTACTAAATACAATTCAAAATATAATTAACTTAATTGGAATTATGTATTTGAGTTTCCATATGAATACTATACATGGTAGGCGACATTTGAAAGGTAACATGAACCAAACTACTGTACAGTATAGTACATCATTTTATTCATCTACTTAAAAAAAATTAAGATCGTTAAGTTTGGTTGCTTAGGTTAGTTTATATTATGTTCTTGTTGATATAATATTTAACTAACTCTGTCTTCTTCACACATTGCCAATATGTCGTTCAACAACTTACTCCAGGCTGCCTTTTCATGTATATTTAACACGATTCTAAGAGACCTGTTCATGTAATAAGAAACAGAGTGGAAATTTATTTAATAAATTTTGAAATAAATGTCTAGTATGGGTTAAAACCTAAAAGACTGCCTGATCCACAAAATAGGTAACACCTTTAATTTCAGTATTTATAGGAAACCTACTAATGTGTGTTCATACATTCATTATTATTCTGCCCACCATAATAGTCAAACAGTCAGTAGTTTCATCAATGTTTTTACGTGCTCTAAGAATATGCAGTCCGGAATTTATTGATGAGGAATATAAATATATCTATAATATTGGCTTGAACCTTAAGTACCCTAGGTCTTATATAGACAAATGCCTTAACATTACTAAGAAATCTTTTTATAGAACTGATCCTAAGCCTTATGACCAGAACATTGTGAATTACACGTAAGCGCTTGGGAACTTCGTGTTTTCTTCTTTCCTTGTGGTTATCAGCATATACCTAGATCACGCGCACCTACAGTGATTTACTTGCATATATATATATATATATATATATATATATATATATATATATATATATATATATATATATATATATATATATATATATATATATATATATATATATATATATATATATATATATATATATATATATATATATATATATATATATATATATATATATATATATATATATATATATATATATATATATATATATATATATATATATATATATATATATATATATTACCTCAATGTAATTATCATGAAGATGTGAATTATATTTTTCTTCTTTTGGTTATCAGCATACGATCAGTGATTTGCTTGCTATATATATATATATATATATATATATATATATATATATATATATATATATATATATATATATATATATATATATATATATATATATATATATATATATATATATATATATATATATATCTATCACATGCTTCATTTAAAATTTAAACTGAGAATCTCACATGAGAATACTAATACAGTAACTACTAGGTATTTTTTTTTACATGAACCACAGAAACCCTCAGCGCTCGACAATAGTTGCCAGTTATCTAGCATTATTTACTACACTATCAGTACAGTACTGTACTATGAATGTTGTGGAGCGCTTCATAAGTTGAAGGATTATGTGAGAGTTACAGTAGGTTTGGGCTGGATAGATGAACACCCTAAAATCAACAGGTTATCACCAAAAAATGATGTTTGCTTGAAAGGGTTTTAACGAAACAGTTTTTTCGTCTGCTTTAAAAGTATTTAACCCTATCATTTCAATGAGTTAGGATACCTGTGACTTGCAGTGTCTTACCTCAATGCTTTCAGCCAAGTCCTCTTCGTCAGAATCTACGGCACTTTCTGTCAAGCCTGACAAGTCAACGTCATCAGGCTCGAGGGAGGATTGCAGCGAGTGGCACATGGTGTCGGAGCCAGAATAGGCGCTGGAGGTGTCAGATCCGTCACGCACAGAGGAGCCCACACTTCCGCGACTCCTAGCACCTCGCAGGATAGCGCTACCTACCAGGTCGGGCAGGTAGGTATCATGGTGGGAGTGGTGGTGGTGCGGGACATGGTGGTGATGGTGATGCTCAGGGTCATACTGGTGGTGGTGGTGGCCAGGTGGAGGGGGAGGCGCTCCCCGACCCACCGGCCTGATGGTGATCTCATCCTGCTCCAGAGCCAATAGCTTCTCTAAGTTCATGGCGTTACACGACACCCGCTGCCCAGGACGCATCAACTGCACGTCTGGGTAGTCAATCTGCATAAACACAAACAAAAACATATTAAAACCAATATTCATCAACCTAAATACATAGCATCAACCCATCACATCATACTGTACACACTACACCTGTATTATAAATGGAGACGTGACATCATAGTTACTCACATTGTAAATCACCAACAATAAAACACTCTTCAGCTTAAGGAAGATGACTGGCCCACCGCTGTTTTTTCATAAAAAAACAATTTTAAAAATGTCGCAATTTCACTATATTTTATGGTGGACACTGATGTAGTTTTGGAAAATGTATTTAAAAAGTGCTTATTTCTCAATTAAACCAAACTGAGTTGAAAAGAAAAACAAGGGGCAGAAGTGTTGTTGGAAGACCTCACCAACTTAACCAAAGAAATCTACCTAACCTTACCTAACTTTCTAGCTAATAGACGTACACTGGTGTTGATCAGATTCAGAGCGTCAATATGATTGGCTGTTTACATACGGAGATGCTGCATCACCGCCACATAACAGCCGAGAAGACAAAGTATTGTGCGCCTAGGCACCTAATTATCTACCAAATGAATCATTTTCCAAAGAAATGATTATCATATCAGAACTCACTGATGAAAATGTATAGTAAGAAAATAAACATCAAAACAAATAATGCGTCGGCGGGTCAGTCATCAATATTAGCCAAGTATTATAATATATTGCACGATTAAAATATCATTACAGTAATTTAAATCATAACTTTAGATTAACACCGACATTGCAAGAATTGCATTTCTGTTCAAAGTCAATGGCAGAAGATGTCTAAATAAAGCAAACTTTGGCAACTAACTTTCCTGGGGTCATCAACATATTTATCACCCCTTACAACAATATTCACTCACCTCTGTTTCTAACTACATCACTACCTTCGTCTTTTTTTAAGTATGGTGTACTGGCCAAACCTACTTTCAATATACACTTGCTAATTTATACTACCCTTCAGAGAACACATCCACCACACCTCTGGGTCCATCCAAGTAAAATAAAACTTAATGGCCTGACACACACACACACACACACACACAGTACAAAATGGCCTTGGGGTCACAATGGATTAAGCTTCAAGTTAACCCTTACATCAAACCTTACTCCAAGTTAAGACCCTCCCCCTCCCTATTAACCTTCAGAAGCTGCCAACACTGCTCGAAAGTGATTCTTAACATTTTTACAAGTTATAAAAGGTTAAGTAAGGTTAAGGTTTTCAAAGGTTTGTGTGGAAGATATTGGAAGCATATTGTGTTGTCTGTGGTAGACCCTGCTGCCATATGACATCTCAAAGACTGTGACCAGGTCCCAGGTTGGTGCCTCATTAACACACCTGCAGGGTCTCAATTGTCTCTCTTACTATTGACAACACAACATACTGTACATAAATCGTTTCTCACTATTTATCTTTCTTTTTAATGGTCCTTCATTATTATTACTATTATTATTATTATTATTTAATATTTTTATTTAATATTTTTTTATTATTTGTTTTTATTCATTATTACAGTATTATTATTTTTCCTTCAGGACCTGATGTAGGTCATTGACCTGTGCCCTGGTGTGCGAATCCAAAAAATTTTATTTATATATATATATATATACATATATATATAATTTTTTAATTATTATTATTAGTAGTAGTAGTATTATTATTACATGTTCGCCCCCCAGGCTCCGATGTGGGTCAGTGACCTGTGCCTGGGTGGGCTAATCCCCGTAAAAAAATAAATAAATAAATGTATTTTACCCTACATTTTCCTACAACTTCAAAGCTCTGCCAACTTTGAACAACTAATATTATGAACAATTTTAGCAGTTAAAATACTTGAAAAATGTCAATTTCTGACAAAAACGTTTAAGAATAAACAAAGTTTATCTATTTTTCTCTTTCTCCCGATATAAGACTCAATATATAAGTGGGTGTTGGCAATAATTAAATACCTCCCCCCTTGAGAGCTCAACGCCAGTAATTTATTGATGGCAAGACCTTGGACACTACACAGGCACAGAAGGGTGACCACAATCCTGCTCCCCAGGTCAAAAGACACAGATCAGAAGGGCTTGTAGAGACATGTACAGAGCTCCGGGTTTCTTCATCACAGCACCCGCACCAGACTTCTCAGACTGTACCAAATCGTCGCAGAAGGTTAATAATGGAGGGTGAGAAGTGAGGGCCAAGATGTTAGATAGGGCACGAGACTAAGTCATGAGGGTTGTGTATGAATGACTAACGACAACACCACCGCCACTATACACGTCACATCCCACGACACAAATAGTGAGCCTTTCTCAGTAAGTGACCTACAGCTGGCGCTATTAAAAGCAATAATTTCGTTCAACATATATAAATAATTAAAAAAAAAGACCTGGCTAAGTAGAAAAAAGTTAACATTGCCACATCCTATACATAAAAAACAAACAAATGTATTGTCACTTTCACCTAGTCGATTATCCAAGGGAACAGTTTGCTTGTTTACCTCTACACGCGTTTTGTGATCTCAATATGAAAAAAACTAACATTTTGATTTTCACATATCGGTTTATGACAAGTCACTCGCTGGTCATTCACAGGACGCTCACAGGTCACTCGTAGCACATTCATTGGGCACTCGCAGGACATTAACCATACACTCACAGTACACCCCAGAGGACATACACCATACACTCACAGTACACTCAGAGGACATTCATCATACACTCACAGTACACTCAGAGGACATTCACCATACAATTACAGTACACTCACCATACACTCACAGTACACCCCAGAGGACATACACCATACACTCACAGTACACTCAGAGGACATTGACCATACAATTACAGTACACTCACCATACACTCACAGAACACTCAGAGGACATTCACCATACACTCACAGGACACTTGTCTTACACTCACAGTACACTTACAGGACACTCACCATACACTCACCGAACACTTGCCATACACTCACAACACACTTGCCATGCACTCACAGGACTGAACTGTTAGGTAATATTATGGAAGCCAAAACGTCCTATAAGGAAAAAATGCACACGTAACAAGAATTATTTTTACACAACTGACAGTGGGAAAACAGTGTATGTTTATGCGCATCAATGCATGTTTATATATATACATGACGTGTAGGGAACCAGTTGAGTCAATCTGAAGTCCACCTACCCATGGACAATAGCATTCAAAAGGTGTGACGGTGAGGTTGGGCCACGATCTTGTCTCCGTCGCCCAGGGCCCACGAATCCCTAACTGGTCGAGATAATAACTACCGCCTGCCTGTAGCCGCCGCGCTCTCCTCATCCTCACCCCCATCAGGTGAAGTGAATCAAGTGAGGAGGCTGATGGTCGTCTTTCCTTCCACATGAATTTCAACATGGCTGTTGCATGGCTTGCACCTTAGACGAGTATCAGTTCTCATATATAGATATTTCACCGTTATGTCCTATATTCATCACTTACTCAGACGCCCTGAATATTTTGCGCGACGTCCAGTTCACACTAACACATTGAAATTACTTTTATCAATTGGCTTAACCACTAAACACTCTGCAGCTATCCTGTATCACCAACTAGGCACAGGACAGAATATTGAACCCGTTATTTATGGAACAGTCTCACATTCATCTAATATTCAAATTCATTATTTCATGTTCATATATTATTTAAATAAAATATTTTCAGGTCCAACTTTTATTTAAGTTTAATATTGCTACACCTGTGGACCCCAGCACCACCTAAGGTGACGAGAATGTACAGTCACACCTGGCTGTGTCCTCACATTACATATTTCCAAGTGACGTGCTTGTTTCTCGTGTCACAGTTTGCCTAGTATACATCCACCAACCACTGTCGCTACACTACTGAAGTCCACGAGCTTTGCTCCGGACGCATCATTATCATGTAGCGATAAAAGTCTACGCATGAGCTTCCCCCCACCCCCCCCCTTCTGCTGGGTACTCCTGCTTATGCGTACATGTACGAGTACGCGCCAAGGCAACGCTCACTCGACACCAGAGATGCTGCACAATACCATCCGCTATGTGCACATGACTGGATTTTTTCTCCGATTCACTGGCACAGAAATTCCTGGGAATGGCCATGTGCCTTACAGTTGTTAAAATATAATCTGCTCACTTGCAGCCCTTGAAGGCAAAAACATCGGAAATACTGGAAAGAAAACCAAATTACATTATGAATTACTTCATAAACATTTAATACCCATCTTAACAAAAACTAGTCGTCCAGTCTTAAGACAGTTAAACCAAACCAACATGGTAAAATTAAAAAAAAAAAAAGATCACGTGAACCCTAGGCACTCCAGCTACCTGGGAGAGGGGGGGGGAGGGTTAAGCTTATATTGGGTTAGCTACCGTTAGCACTAGGGTGTTTTATCAACAGGTGAAACAAGCTGGAGTATAATTTTCACGTGATACATAACAAAACGCCAATGTTATCTAAAATTGTTTTCTGAAACAAACAAACAAACTGGTTCACAATAAAAAAAAGATACAAGGGGGGGTGACCAGATATATCAAACAATTCTCTTTCCTGCTTGTGATAAGTTTGCTGAGGTGAGATCACCAAGCTTTGCACACACAAACAAAGGCAATGCAGATATAATGGTAAAGGGCAATGCATCATTATAAAGGGTGCATAGCAAGGGCAAGGCATCATTAAAGGGGTGTATGGCAAGGGCAAGACATCCTTTAGGAGTGTATGGAAAAGGCAAGGCATCATTTAAAAGGCATATGGCAAGGGCATGGCATCATTTGAAGGGTATAAGACAAGAGCAAGGCATCATGTTAACAGTCCTGGCAGTCACGATATATCCGTCGTGACGGAAATTTCTTTACAGACAGGTTAATCAACACCGTGTGGCGAGCGGGTCCTTTAGTCTCTTTTGTGATGATTCCCATGAAGGACGCCGGTGCCAGGGTGTCCTCAGGCAGCTACCATAATGACCAAAAACACTCCTTCATTATTTTTTCTCCACCGAA